TCCATCCATCCATCTTTCCATCCACTCATCCATCCATCTATCCATCTGTCCATCCATCCATCTGTCTATGCAGTCAAGCTGACTGAATATGTAACAGACAAGGAAATGTTGAAATCTGCAATTGTGAAAGTAGGAGTCCACCCGCCTTCAAGGGGGCAAAGTTGAGAAGCTCTGCTTTGTTGTACCAACGTCGGTCTTGTTTCCCCTTGCAGGTTGCGGTCATGCAAGTAGAGTTGACGGCCCTTCAGCCTCAGCTGATTGAAACCTCCGCAGAGACAGAGAAGATGATGCTTCACATTGAGAAAGAAACGGCCGAGGTCGATGCCAAGAAGGAGCTGGTGGCCGCAGACGAGAAGGAGGCCAACGAAGCCGCCGCCGTGGCACAGGGGATAAAGGTAATTTCTTCTGGATATGGCGGAGGGGGGGTCCCATCAGAGCATCCTCCCCGCAAGGCCACAAATAAATGATGGCTTCTCCAATCATTCTTTATTGAATAAATTAACCAGGATTGTACATAATGCAGGTACGCATTGTCCTCTCTTACCAACCGCAACTCCATCACTAAGTGACATGGTCATAAAGTGAAACACCCATGACTGCGCTGACTTAACTATGGCAGTTGTGGCGGCCTGGATTGCAGTTGTTTAGTGAATCTCATGGGGTTGTTAAGTTGGAGGTGCCATCCAGTTGCCAAATGCCTGAGTTGCAGTCGTGACCGCAGGTACCCTGCGATGGCCACAACCTTGAGGAATGTTAATTTAAACCTACTTTATGGACACCCGTCGTATCTTTGAACGATCACTGAACAAATGGTCTGTAAGTGAGGATTACCTGTACATTCTGGATTATAAACCACACTACAGCTAGGTGGCAGCATCTAATTGACTTTAGAATTGATCTTAGGAAGCTATAAGTAGGGTAGGCACTAATTTATAACATTCCCTTGGTTTCTTGAAGAGTAGTTTCTAAGAATACTAGACGATTGAGTCTTATGAAGTTACCAACCTGGAGATTTTTAAATCCAATATTTTGATACATGTTTTGCTAAAGTTGATTCTGGCTGAACACAAAGCAAAGAGGGACCAAGGGTGACATGGGGGCAGTGTTCCAATATTTGAGGGGCTGCCACAAAGACGAGGGAGTCAAGCTCCAAAGCCCGTGAAGGCAGGACTAGAAACAAGAGATGGTCATTTATCAAGGAGGGAACCAACTTAGAACTAAGGAGAAATTTAATTGTGAGAACAATTAATCAGTGGAATGACTCGCCTCCAGAAGTCATGGGTGCTTCAATACTGGAGGTTTTTAAGAAGAGACTGGACAGCCATTTGTCTGAAATGCTGGAGCAGGGAAGGGGTTGGACTAGAAGACCTCCAAAGTCCCATCAACTCTTCTGTTCTTCTGTTAAAGTTGACTGCACAATGCGGCGTGTAAAAGGGTGGCTGAGCCAGGTGTTTCTTTGTATGTCATTTCAGGAAGAATGTGAGGGGGATCTGGCAGAAGCCATGCCAGCTCTTGAGGCTGCCCTTTCGGCTCTGGACACCTTGAACCCTGCGGATATTTCTCTCGTCAAATCCATGCAGAATCCCCCGGGACCCGTCAAACTCGTCATGGAGAGCATTTGTGTCATGAAAGGCATAAAACCTGAAAGGAAACCAGACCCATCTGGATCTGGTAATAACCATAATGATAATGACTATGGTTTTGCAACATGACAAATTCATTGCACTGCTGGAGTAATATTATTAAGTGGTAGCATATATTCATTTTGCTGCTCTTGGGGTTATCATTATCTCCTATTACGTCCTTCATTTTGAGAAATTGGTGATTGCTGAAGCATCATTTCAAAGAAAGCCTTATTTCCTGTATTAGATGCTCTGCAGATTTCCCCTTTCTTTGTTCAATATATATATATACGACTAAAACTCTTGCTGTCGTGACCTTTAATTGGGTGAAACAGTGCTTGGTAGAGCAAGAATTTTTGAACCAAGGTAGCTCAAATGGGCTAACTTACTCACCACAAAGTTGGGACTTATGGTTTCTGAGGGATGATGTTTGGGAAAGTTGTGGCCGCTTCAGTGCTACCGGCTGTTGAGGTTATGTGGTCTTCATTTTCAATGTTCTGTGACAGTTTCCCAGCCAGTCTGATAATCCTTTGCTCCCTCCCCCATCCAGCAGCAATCCCTTACCTGACTGCTGGGAAGAGAAGGGTAGGGAAAGAAAGATGAGGGAGGGAGGGAGGAGACTGAGAGAGGTAGAAGGAGGGAGGGAGGGAGGAAGACAAGGAAGGAAGGACTCTGATGCTCCCTGCCAGATTCCTAGAAGCAATGGGGAAGCCACCAGGAAGTCACAAATAGTCCTGCTTTTTTGCCCACCTGGGAATATCACTGAAACAATGACTCGGTGGGGCACATGTTGTCTAATATTAAACGCATTCGTGTGTTCTGTTGTGAAATGCAGGTAAAATGATAGAAGATTACTGGGGAAGTTCCAAAAAGGTCCTGGGCGATCTGAAATTCCTTGAGGGCTTGAAGTCGTATGACAAAGATAACATTCCTGCCGTAGTAATGAAGAGAATCCGAGAGAGGTTTATCAACCACCCCGATTTCCAGCCCGCCGTCATCAAAAACGTCTCTTCGGCCTGCGAAGGCTTATGTAAGTGGGTGAGAGCCATGGAGGTCTATGATCGTGTCGCCAAGGTCGTTGCCCCCAAGCGTGAACGCCTGCGAGAGGCGGAGGGCTTGCTCGACATCCAGATGCAGAAACTCAACACGAAGCGCGCGGAGCTCAAGACCCTGATGGACCGTCTCCAGGCTCTGAATGACGAGTTTGAAGAGATGAATAACCGGAAGAAAGAGCTGGAGGACAACATTGAGATTTGTTCCCAGAAGCTCATACGAGCCGAGAAACTGATCAGTGGATTAGGAGGCGAGAAGGAGAGGTGGACGGAAGCCGCCCGCCTGCTGGGAATCCGCTACACCGATCTGACCGGAGACGTCTTGCTGTCTTCGGGGACAGTGGCTTATCTGGGGGCCTTCACCGTGGACTACCGCCTGGAATGCCAGCAGAAGTGGCTGGCCTTATGCAAGGAGAAGAATATTCCTGGCTCAAATGATTTCAGCCTGAGTAACACGTTAGGAGATCCGGTCAAGATCCGCGCCTGGCAGATTGCAGGGCTGCCCATCGATTCCTTCTCGATCGACAACGGTATCATCGTGTCCAACTCACGACGATGGGCTCTCATGATCGATCCTCAAGGGCAAGCCAACAAGTGGGTCAAGAACATGGAAAAGGGCAACAAACTCTCGGTCATCAAATTATCTGACACCAATTATGTCAGGTCCTTGGAGAACGCCATCCAGTTTGGAACGCCGGTCCTCCTTGAAAATATTGGCGAGGAACTGGATGCTTTCCTGGAGCCTGTTCTGCTAAAGACGACCTTCAAGCAGCAGGGAGTCGAGTATATGAGACTGGGGGAAAACATCATCGAGTTCTCCAGAGATTTCAGGTTTTACATCACCACCCGTCTGAGGAACCCACATTACCTCCCAGAAGTGGCGGTGAAGGTTTGCCTGCTCAATTTCATGATTACGCCTCTGGGACTTCAGGACCAGCTTCTTGGGATCGTGGCTGCCAAAGAAAAACCGGAACTGGAGGAAAAGAAGAACAAGCTGATCGTCGAGAGTGCGGCGAACAAGAAGCAGCTGAAGGAAATTGAAGATAAGATCCTGGAGGTCCTCTCCAAGTCGGAAGGAAACATCTTAGAAGATGAGACGGCCATCAAAGTTCTCTCCTCTTCCAAGCAGCTGTCGGAAGAAATCTCCGAGAAACAAGAAATCGCCAGTATGACTGAAACGGAGATCGACGCTACGCGGATGAGATACAAACCCGTGGCGGTCCATTCCGCGACCGTCTTCTTCTGCATTTCCGATCTGGCCCACATTGAGCCAATGTACCAGTACTCCTTGATATGGTTCATTAACCTCTACGTCCAGTCGCTCGCCAACAGCCCCAAAAGCGATGTTTTGGAGGAAAGAATCGAAAACATCATCGACCACTTCACCGTCAGCATCTACAATAACGTTTGCCGGTCCTTGTTCGAAAAGGACAAGCTCCTTTTCTCCCTCCTCCTGTCCATTGGGATTTTGAAAGGGAAGAACGAAATTGACGATAAAGTTTGGCGTTTTTTGTTAACCGGAGGGGTGGCCCTGGAGAACCCCTACCCCAACCCCGCCTCCGAGTGGTTGAGTGATAAAGCTTGGGCAGAGATCGTCCGTGCTTCGGGCCTCGAAAACCTCTCTGGCTTGATGGATCACTTTGAGTCCCACGTCCAGGAGTGGAAAGCGATCTACGATTCGGCTAAGCCTCAAGAGGAAGTGTTCCCCAGTGGGTGGAATAAGCTGACGGGCCTTGATCGCATGGTGGTGCTCCGGTGTTTGCGACCCGACAAAATTATCCCAGCCACCCAGCTATTCATCATGGAGAAGATGGGAAGGACCTTCATTGAGCCCCCAACCTTCGATCTCGTTGGAAGTTACAATGACTCCAACTGCTGCGCTCCCTTGATTTTCGTCCTGTCCCCGGGAGCGGATCCCATGGCCGGTGAGATTGGAATTCAGTTCAGTTCAAATCCATTCTGATTGGACTTTGGTTGGTGACAAGGAAGGAAACCAGGATCCCTGCCCCCAAAGTTGTCTCTGTTAAATGCCTGTGGAGGTTCTCGGTCCTCCAGGTCATGGTTGTCCCAAAGGTGCTTTTTCAAAAGGCAACTGGTCTTTCTTGGTTTTTTCCCTTGGAAATGTTTTGCTTCTCATCCCAGAACCTTCTTCGGCTGTTCAGGAAGAACCAAGGAAACTTCTCGGATGTGAAGTGAAACATTTTCATGGAAAAAAACACAAGAAAGTCCAGTTGCCTTTTGAAAAAGCATCTTTGAGACAATGTCTCTGTTAGCAAATAATTATGAATTTACTAGAATAGAATAGAATAGAATAGAATAGAATAGAATAGAATAGAATAGAATAGAATAGAATAGAAGAGTAGAGTAGAGTAGAGTAGAGTAGAGTAGAGTAGAGTAGAGTAGAATTCTTTATTGGCCATGTGATTGGACACACAAGGAATTTGTCTTTGGTGCAAATACTCTCAGTGTACAAAAAAAAGGGTACATTCATCAAGAGTCAAGAATCATCAGGTACAACACTTCATGACAGTCATAGGGTACAATAAGCAATCAAATCCTACTAGGAAACAGTCAATATGTATCATTGTAAGGATACAAGCAACAAAGTTGTACAGTTACAAGTAGGAGGGAATGGGTGATAAGGAGCGAAGAGAAGATTAATAGTAATAGCAGTGCAGATTTTGTAAATAGTTGGACAGTATTGAGGGAATTATTTGTTTAGCAGAGGGATGGCGTTCAGGAAAAAACTGTCCTTGTGTCTAGTTGTTCTGGTGTGCAGGGCTCTATAGCGTTGTTTTGAGGGAAGGAGTTGAAACAGTTTATGTCCAGCCCTGACATTCTATTGATAAAATACACCCAGAGAAATTCTAAAAAAAATATGTTAGCAAAGTGAGAAAACCTGGAAGGGTTGACTTGGCTAAGAGAAGCCTTACTGAAGGAGAGAACTCCATAGAATAAACTCCTGATTTGGATCTGACCAACATCCTTGTCTATCACCCCACTTCTTTTGAGTATTTGTGGACAGGAATAGCCCACCATCTCTAGCAAAAGTGGACACCCTGTATCTATCAGATGTTATTAAAACCCAGTTCCCAGCAGCCTTGATAAACATGGCCAATGGTAGAGGAGGACACTGGGTGTTGTAGTTCAGCAACCTTTGGAAGTTCACAAATTCTTCCTTATGGGGATGGCATGCATGCTTCTTTTGAAAAAAAAAATTGGCCCTGACTCTTAAAAATGTCCCACATGTTTAGAATACAATTAGAATGGGAATCGGGAATGAATTGGGAAAAGAATATAGAGTAGAGTAGAGTAGAGTAGAGTAGAGTAGAGTAGAGTAGAGTA